ATCTTGAAGTTGATTACGTACTAAAATTTACCAACATCTACTAAAACAATCCGCGTGTAGCGCGGGCAAAAACCTAGTGTTTAAAAAAATCAAAAAAATTAATCTTATTCAATTGTAGATTAGGAATTTAGGATCCAGCGTAACGCCCATATTTTTTCTTTTTTAAAACAAAATTATACACTAAAATCATGTTGATTTATGCATTTAGATAATATAAAATACATCTCCATGCATTTTTGTTTGTTTGTAAATTTGTATTAGTATCTAGATATATAACAAAATCACTAAATATATATATATATATATATATCTTTCATATTAATATTTTTGTGATCTGAATTATACTTGCGGTTAAATAAAAATTAATGTTTTTATAAGATCAAATTAGTTTAATTGTTATAATAAATTTAGTAAAAAAAAATGGATCTTGAATAAAAAAAAATTAATGTTTTTAAAAAATCAAATTAAGTTTATAATAAAATTAAAAAAAAAGAAATTGGTAAACAAACAAACAAACATCATGTCTAGCTACTGGGCCTTTTAGGCTTCATTTCAGCAACATCTTGAAAATTATCTCGGCCCATGAATAATTATCAAACACGTGTGCAATTCTAATTCGTCCTGAATGAGGCAGCCACGTCTTTCGCCTTTGATATTGTTGACCTTTCTTTTGTTTCTTCCATAAAAATATAAAAACCATCTTCGATCCTCAAAATATTCTTCTCAGATTAGCTTATTTTATTTGTCGTCGTCTTCTTGGTTTTGCATGATCTCGTTTTGGATATGTTCTCTCTGATTCGTGTTTCCTCATGATCCGATCTTAGTGTCTTCGTACCTGTGATTCTTCCAAGCATCGTTCTACTGATTTTCTTAGATATCTCTCAGATCTCTCTGCGATTCGTCGGATTGGATTAGGGTTTTTTTTTTTGTTTCCGGTAGCTCTTCGGTTTCTGGGTTTCGAAGAGCATAAGATATAATGCGGGTGACCTCGGAGCTACTCCTCTTCTCTTTGGTTCCTTCGTTGACTTTTTATCATTCTGGTTTATGTTCCAATCGTTTGAAACCTCTTCAAAAGAGTGATTGGCGTGGTAATCTTAGTTGAAGTTTCTCTCCTTTCTTCATTTCTCTTCCTGTTTTTTTCCTTTCGATCTCTTAGTTGAAGATTCTCACCGTTTCCCTAGCTAATCGGAGAAGAAATTTGTGACATTTTAGTCAGTGATCGATCTTTTGGTGTTTTTGACGTTTCGGGCGAGGTATTTAATTTATGTATATGAATTTGTCTGATCTCTGTGACTCGTTAGTCATGTATAATCCAAAGATCGTTTACTGATGTTTTTTTTTACTATGAATATGTTCGTTGTAGTTAGTTCTGCTACGTTTTGGATATGAGCTCAGTTTGTGGTGGGTTGGATTTCAAAGATGCAGAGTACCACCTTGAGAGCAGCTCTGCTTCGAGTCCCAATAAATGTTCTAATAGCTCAAAGCATATCTCTTGTATCGGATCTGAAGATGCTCAAGAGTCTGATGGGGATGATAGTGGTTATATACCCCAAAGTGTGAATGAAGAATCCAAAGATGAGCTGATCAACAAACCCATCACTGAGTCTTTACCTCTCAAGTCTTTGGATGATGAAGGAGAAGACAAAAACCTTGCAACGGTATCGCAGGACATGTTCTCTGGTAGTGTAAGTGAACCTGTGTTACTCCTGATACTGTTTAATTCGCTAGTTGTTTCTGTTCTTGGCATGTTTGGGATATACGGTTTGCGAGACTACCAAGATTGTTTAGAGTCTAGTGCTGACTTACAAGCTTCTGTGTGTATTCATATCCTTGAACTTGAAATAATCCCTCACAGCTCTAGGTTTGTGATCATTACTTTTCCTGTATATTATGGTAGTTGCTGGCAACATTTGATGGGAGAATACTCCAAAATCGATTTAATGATCCTTGAAAGAGTACCAGTCCTCGGATTTTGGCTGTGGGATAGTGATAGATTCAAATCGCTTTATCAGATATACCACTCAGTAGTTGGAGCTTATCAATGTACTTTATGTTTCTGAAGTAAACATTAGTGAAATGCTGCAACCTGGTGTTTCCCTGTTTATGTTTGCTGCTTCTGACTTGTGTTTTTTGTAATTCCAACAACAGATGAGTGTGGTTACAATCATCCCAGCCATTAAAGGCAGCCGAGAGAAGCATGGCAAGTCGCTCGAGAAGCTGAGCGTGTCATGGGCTGAAGATGTGTATGATCCTCTACCCTCCATTGTCTCTCACACGAGGAACAAGAAACAGCAACAGCAGAAATCAAAGAGCAAAGACAACTTGAAGAAGAATGGAAAGAAAGGACAAAAGGGAAGCAGCAATTCGCCATCATCCCGTGGCAGCAAAGACAAGAAGCAGTCGTCTCGCAGCAAAAACAGTCGTGATAAGTTTGGGTGGGTTACACAAATGCCCATTGTAGCTGCATCTTCTTGAATGAAATCTGTTTGGCATGACCAAGGCACTTGCGTCTTCCTCATTCTG